GGTTGTGTTGTATTTAAAGGACTTGCTAATAACATAGTCACCACATGCCTGTCTAACCCACGTTCCCTGTGGAGCAAATGATGGAATCATTCTGATGTAGATTGCTGGACTCGTTTGGCTGCTGAACTGCGGTGTCTAAAGTTTTCAAATTCAATCATTGCCACTGTGAAGTTGATTAATTCTGAGATGTTTTGTCTCCCAGTGGAGCAGCAGTATCAGCAATGAACGATTCGGAGCAGGTATAACACAAGCTTCAGTTCCATTCGCAGTTCCCGACATTCCTTAGGAGTTAAACAAGACAAAGAAGTTTCCCTTTTCTCCCTTTTTTTCTTTTGATCTTACATCTAAGAAAGAGTGAAAGAAAAACTGTCCAATGGTGTTCATATGAGCATCAATCATCCCTGCCCAGAACGGTTGCAAATATTTGTCATCAGAAGGAACAATCTGCATCAAAATGTTAGGCAACTAAATAAGAGATTTTCAGAGATGTCGAGCACTTACAAATACCATTCATTTCAGTGTTTAATTAATTAATTGGTTTAAGTTAGGTTCTTAACTTTGCCCATCCAAGTTTGAACATTTGGGCCCCGGCACACATTGCTGATGGATGATAATGAAGAGGGAGGGAGATGGTGATCATCAAATGCACCTAGTACAGCAGCCCCAGGGCATGACCCATACCTTAGCCCAATAAAGCGTAAGCCTGGAATAACAACATCCTTTAAAAAGATTGCTCCGTTAACTTTTCATGGACTTCAGTTAGGATGGGCAGCTCCCCGCTTCAGTCTGTTATACATAATGGTCTCTTGGTTGAAATATCTGTGTCCCTCAGGCATTTCCAAGAGATGGCTGCATCTGCTCTTCTCGTTACTGAGTTACTGAAATTGGCTGGGGTTATCCTGTACCTTTAAGGCATAGTCAGTTGTTGTAGGCAGTGAAGCAGGGGGAACACAGAAATTGTGCCACCTTCCCCAAGGGTGCAGAATACACTTCTCTCTCTCTGGTGGCCAGTGAAGAAAGGGTGTAACATTAGCAGTATCCAGATGGCTATTTTGCTATTGATTTTATGTGGGAGGCACTGAGATACTACAGTGATGGTGATGGACAGGAGTATAAAACTCCAAGACAGACCAACAGATGGATGGCCTCACCCCACCCTGGTTCAGTTTGGGATAGGCTGCTGCTGACAGTCCCTTGCACGGAAAGCAGATTGGCACTCAGGTCCTTGTACAAGGTCTGCCATTGTGCCCAGCCAGTGCAAGTAGGTGGTGAGGGGAGCTCCTTATGCCTTCTTTTTGTCCACACAGGGGCTAAGCACAATAACCCCCTTCATTATTTTGGAATACTTGCAATGCTGGTTTATCATAGGCTGGTGTGCTTTACAATGATGAGTTATATGATAGTAGTGCTTAGAGGTCCCAGTCAGGGATCATTGTGCTCAGTGTTGTACAAATGGGTAAAACAGACAATCCCTGGCTTGGAGAACTAAAAATATAGGACATTGACAAGGAATTTGTGACTGTGGTAACCTTCCAGGCACACTGCAAAGCCCGTCTTTCCCCCTTGGCCTTCAGGGAGCTTGGAAGTGGGTGTTAAGGCTGGATGTTGAAAGATGATTTGGGGCAGGAGGTGTCTCACCATGTGCTTGAGTGGAGCAGCTTTGGTTCTTGCATGACATGTACCTGATCGGAAAAGTTGTGGTGTTTCAAAATTGGATTAATGTAAGTTTGCCCCTGGAAATTTTCGATTCCTAGGGGTGTGGCTTTACCTGTTGGGAGGTGCTGGATGGACACGAGAGAAATGGAAAATATAACGGAACCCTGTATACTCTGAAAAACCGTGGAATATTCATGGAGCAATTTTGTTTTCTAGCTCCTTGGCCTCTGGGGCCAAAGGAAAAGTGCTGAGGTTTTGCTTTACCCAGCATCAGATGCTTCTACATCGACTTGAAAGCTCCAGATCTGCCAGATGACGTTCAAAACCTAAGCCCACCGGTTCTAATTCCTGGAAGAAATGCCCAAGAGAATTATTGAACTACCCACAGTGGGCCAAACTGAGATCTAGTGTGATTCCAACTCCACTAGCTTCAGCGACTGGAGTTGCATTGTTTTGCCATGTGCTTGAATTTTGGCTCCTTGTACTTAGAGGCAGGGCTGCTGGCAGGGAAATAGAAGCTGTAGTATAGAGGAGAACTTTATTCACCCATTCTGCACAAGTCTGTAACTGTGATCTGGCCAGTGCATAGGCCACAGAGCTGGAAGAATTACCTATGGGCAGCATAGTTATTTCAATCTATGCCTCTGTCTGATTATAGTGCCTCAAAAATAGCCAGTTGAAAGGGAGACAGCATGAATTAAATCCTGTTGTTTCATTTTGTAGCGTGTTTTTGGAAGGAAGGGAGGAAGAAACGGAGCTCAGAATATAAACTGCACATTAGAATTGGTAATAGGTGTAATATAGTGATATAATTAACTATATAATGGCCACTGACATGTAGGTCACAAGAGGGTGCTATATACTTAGCAGAAAACTGGCTATGTAAATAGCACAGGGCAACTATGTCTGTGTGATACAAATAAAGGACCAGACCAGTCACTGTAGTAACTGTGTCTTACTGGATTATTAGTTAGATAATTCTGCTGCAGCTCTGTCCCCATTGCAGGAGTCCTGGAAACGTTTTGAACGTTTAAAATATTAACGATGAAGGAAGTTTCAAAAGGAGGAGAGAGAGGCTTTCGATTCTGAGGGAGACGGGTGAGAAACCCAAACAAGCAAAAGTCAAGGAAATTGCTGAGCAAAGCAGCAAAACAAAGAGACACAGAAATGTCAGACAGATTAAAAAACAAGTCAGGAGGAAAAAGCGGAAATCACGGATAGTACAGGAGAGGTAGCAGGGTGAGGGCTCAAGAAACACAACAGCTGCTATTGTACAACCAAAGCGTAACATTGTGATACACAACCATCATCTGTTAAACTTTGTTTGGTTTGGCTGTAAACTGGTTGGGACAGGGCCTGCGTGCTATATGTTTGCACCACACAAGAACAGGCGTTCTCCTGTCTGCTAGCGCCCCACAATGGGATACAAAGCTCGATTGCAGTCTCTAGGTTCCTGCCTTGCTCTGCGTATGGAATGTCTCGGACATGAAGTCTGCCTTCAGGCCACATGGAAATCTCAGACCACATTGATGTGCGTGAGGTACAAAATGACAAGCTAAGGAAATCTGCTTTCGCCACAGGCAGCATCTTCTATGCTAGGTAAAGGGAGTTTCTGATTTAATACCAACGGGGAAGTTTCTTTAGGGAAGAGGACTGTGGTGGGACCTAGGAGTCAGGAGAACTCAGTTCTGTTCTTGCCTCTACTAATACAGTGACCTTTGGCAAATCAGGGGTTAATGTCTCTAAGCTTAATTTCCCCTGTGTAAAATAGGACTAATGAAAAGCATTATGGTCCTGATTCTGAACTGTACAAGTCAATATTAACATCAATGAGCATAGGAACATGCCCTATGTAAATGAAAGAAATTAATTATTATTATTATTAATTATTATTATTATTTATTTTATTATTGCTTACAGGGATGACATGACCAGGTATGGTGACAGCTCTGTCTTTTGTACCTGAAGATAACAGGAACAGCACCAGCTCTGACATAAAACACACGTGTTAGGCTAAATATAGAGAGGTACCTGTAACTCCCAAAGGGACTACTTCCTGGTTAGCAGTTGTTTGCAAGACTGGGCCTTTCAAGGTTAAAAGCCTGCAATTCTGCATAAGAAATATCAGTTGTAGTTCCTTTCTGATGCTGATTTGTGGAGGAATTCCAGGCCAGAAGGGACGTGCATTTTGTGGCAAGTTAACAGCTGTTCATTCGCGTTTTAATTTGGTTATGGAATTTTTTAAATCACAGTTGTAACAGTTTGTTGGACTTTTCTCTATCCTAGTGATATTTAAAGAGCTAACTGTGCCCACTTAACTCTGGGTGGCTTTATAAAGGAAATTCTAAGGGTAAGACCTGAGGGATGGAATAGCATAGGGGCGCTACACTAGCAGAGGGGCCTAGGGTGACCAGATAGCAAGTGTGAAAAATCGGGACAGAGGGTGAGGGGTAATAGGAGCCCATATTAAAAAAAGCCCCAAATATCGGGACTGTCCCTATAAAATCGGGACATCTGGTCACCCTAGAGGGGCCTAGCAAGTGCAGTAATAGAGGACATTGCAGGACAAGGTAGCAGTGTTCACGGCACCTTGCCCCTCCTTTGTCTCCTCTTCCTACTTGCAGTTCTGTCTCTTTCCATACGACCCCTTACATCTGAACAGCCTTTCCCATCCCCTCTGCCCTGAGCGGGGACAGCCTGACTGTGCTGGTGCTGAGCCCAAGGAGGGGGAGTGACTTGCGCCTTCCATTTCCTGGGGCCGCTGGCGGCCAATATGGCCCCTAGTGTGGGCTAGAGCAGCCCAGAGGGATGCCCTAACTTGTGTCCTAGGTGTAATATCGACTGGGCTGTTCGCAATCAGGGAATAGCCAGAGTGTTGGGATGTCCGACTAATGCCTCCTCCCTCCCACAGCCCACTCTTTCCTGCCCCCAACACACCTCCTGCATGGGTGCAGGTGGGGATTGGTGCAGAGCTGCCTGAATTGTCTTTAAACCACGATTTGAGGACTTCAGTAACTCAGACATAGGTTAGGGGTTTGTTACGTTAGTGTAGACAAAGCTTTAGAGGGAAGGGCACGTGGGCAGCCTGTGTTGGGTAACAGTGACTCTAAACATGTTTCTCTCGTGTGATAATAAACCATCGTGGCCAGCTCCCCTGGAGGTTTAGGGAAAGGCAAAACTGGCATTTAGGTGCCCAATTCCAATCGCTCTTCCATGGGAGTTAGGTGTCTACAGATCAATTGTGCTTTTGGAATATCTCCCCCTTAGCCCTTAAACTGCTGATCTAGTGTCCGGGCCACAAGTCTGCCTCCTTGTAGGACACGCTCAGCTCCCTGCAGCCAAAGGGGAGGGTATGTCCTTGGGGCAGTGATACTTGGGATAGTGTCCGAAAGACACACATGCTTCTCTGCAAAGGCATGTCTGTTGGGGGTGGGAATGGGGAGAATGTCAGATATTCCAAAACCCCGGAGGCCAAATTTTCAGCTGATGTCAATCTGTGTCGCTCCACTGCCTTCAGTTGACTCCACCAGAGGATCTGGCCCATAAGACCTGTTTGTACCTGGCCTCCAGGTGACGTGGCAAGGGCAACATTAAAAAGTAGCAGCTGTGGATTATAAAAAAGGGGCCATATAAATGCCTAACAGATCGAGTGCCCCTTCGTGCTATTATGGGTTCTATCCCCTTCGTGGAAGGTAGGTCGACTCGTATTTAACTGAGGTTACACTTGATCGGAACCAAAAGAAGCCAGGACTTTCAGGAAGAGCAGTCAAATAAAATGTAAGTCAGTGTTCCCTGCCCCAGCTGGTCTTTGCCCCCCTGTTTGCAAATGGAAAAGAAAGAGACTTTAGCAGCAGTCCAGGCTGGTTCCCTCCCCTCCCCCTGCCTGGCTGTCTTTAGAGCTAGGAACACAGCCCGGTGAGGAAAGAAATAAAATAACTGACTTCATCAGGTTTCATCACATTCACAGCTAGTTAACCATGAACTGGTGACTGGTTAACTGCTGCTCGCAGAGCCACAGGAGAGAGTCTGATTTCGCTTTTGCTGGAATAAGCAGCAAACACGCAGACAGGCTCCCTGCTTCCTTTAACCTGCAAAAACAAGGGAGTCCTTCAAAGATCATCCATCCACTCAGTCCTCTCTCTTTTCCCTACAGTCTAAATCCCTGATAGTGTAAATCCTCACATTTGCTTCCCTCCCTCTCTCCCTCAGTCACACACACACTCTCTCCCCCTCCTCCCTAGTCGGCTGCTATCTGATCTATGATGATATGTGATCTCTTGGATACAACCACACACACACGCACACACACACAAACCACCAGGCATTGCTGCTACCCAGCTGAGCAAAATGTCTTTCTCCTAGCAGCAGTGCTCATCATAGCTTTCAAATCCTTGACGATGTGGCCATGCTTTCCCCTCTGCCTTCTACTTTCTCTCTGTTTCTGCCTGCTCTTCCTGCCCTTGGGGCATCTTTGCCCTCCTCTCTGTAGCTGTATGGACTCCCACACTATAGACTGCAGGGATCAAGGACTCCCCAGGGTTCCTAATCTGTTTCCACTGGACGTACGGAAACTTCTCATAGCTGACAACAACATTCAGGCGATACCGGCTGATTTCTTTATATTTTATGGAGATCTAGTCTACTTGGACTTCAGGAATAACTCAATCACCTCCTTAGAAGAGGGCACTTTCAGCAGTTCCACCAAGCTGGTGTTTTTAGACCTAAGCTACAATAATTTAACGCAGCTTGATGCTGGGATATTCAAGTCGGCAGAGAAGCTGATAAAATTAAGCCTTGGGAACAATAACCTAGTGGATGTGGATGAGGCTGCTTTTGAGAGCCTGGAACAGCTCCAAGTGTTAGAACTGAATGACAATAACTTGCAGAGCCTCAACGTGGCTGCCCTGGATGCACTTCCGTCCCTTCGGACTATACGTCTAGAGGGCAACCCATGGGTCTGTGACTGTGACTTTGCCAACCTCTTCAGCTGGATACAAGAGAATGCATCCAAGCTTCAGAAAGGTAAAGCTAAATGACTTGCAAGGCAGCTAGTGCGTGTGTGTGTGTGTGTGTTTGTGTGTGTGTGTGCACGCTCACGCTGTTCCTGTTGGTCAGCTTGTCTGTCTGGGTGTATTGCCTGCAGTGATCCAACCTGTGAATTCTGCTCCTACCACAATTACACATTTGAACCAGCGAGTCCCTTAAAATGAAGCTGGTTTCCTTTAGTAACAACATCCCCTCCCAGTAAATGTGATATTTTGGTCCTGAGACTAAAACCTATCCAAGTTGAGAAGGAGCCTTTTCAATTAGGGTAACCCAGCACTGATTCTCTTCCAGGCTTTGGTTTCTATTAAGTAAATAAATATATTTCCCTTAATAAGCCCTTTGAATGGCTGAATATTTGTGCCAGCACATGGGGGAACCTGATCTTACCCTGCCTAGATTTTCTGTGAAGCAGCACAGGATAGTTCAGTCCGTGCATCCTATTTTATACCACTGTGGTTGTTGACCCTCTCCTGGAATTAGTTGCTTTTGATTGCCTGCATTAGGATCTCAAATTCCAGCTTGGTTGTTGCTGGTTTTCATACAAATAACATAGCTTTTAGTTTTGGAAGCCAATTTACACGAGAGCGCAAGCTGCAAAATTTGGAATGGCATCCAGGTTTGGATCTGGAACCACACCTCAAATGGCGTTCTGGGGTTTTGGCCAGTTATTTTTCAGATGTGTATTGAAATAATATTAAAGCAGCCATGTGCAGGAATCCAGACTCTCCCTGCCCAAAGCTCCTGTTAATCTTACAAGCCTTAGCTAGAGATCAACCACAGTTCATGGTTCCCAACAAGCACCGGGTCATAAACTCATGCCACCAGCCCCCAAGATGCACGTGAAAGACAAACTGCTAGGAGCGTAGGTGCTAACAGTGTTACTGGGGGTCCACAAAGTAACACCCTTAATGAGATCACGGCTGCCTAGTCTGCTTCTGAGCAGAACTATGTTTGACTGGGGAGGAATGGGGGGCGGAGTGATAAAAGGTTGAGGCTTGAGAGCCAGGGAGAATGGGAGGAGATGGAGAAAGAGGGAGAATCCATCCTCTAAAGAGCATCTCCGTGTATTTCATGGAGTGTCAGAGGCAGAGGGAGAAAAACACAGAATGAGCCAAGAAAATGATTTCAATAGCTTTTCCCCTCCTCTTCGTTACCAGAGAGGCTGTAAGCACTTATGTGAGCTCTCCCTGTGCTCGTGACCTTGGGTGGCATTTTTGATACATTAATCTTGTTTGCCCTAGTTGCTCAAGGATGTAATGGAACCAGCTCCTATTAGAGATGAATGAAGTGATTTGGGGAGAAAAAAGGGTTGATCTCCCCACCCCCGCCGGGCGTGAGCCGAATCTCGACCTACTTTCCCCACGATGCCTGGGGCCAGCTTTGGTCGGTCTCTGAGCGGAGTGTTGGCAGGATCTGAGCCAAACCCTGGCCCATCTCTTCCCTGCATCCAAGCCAAACCTTCATCCATCTGCCCCTCTGTGTCCCAACGGAACCTTCACCCATTTCCCCCAACTCCTTGTCTCAATGGCATTTTAATTTTTCTCCCCGAACCTTTAACTGAGCAAAAGCTGTGATCATTTCCCGCCCCCCACCTCCTTACCTGAGCCAGCATTATCCCTCATTCCACCCATTTTTCTTAGCAAATCTTTCTCCCATCCCCCCCAAACCACCCCAGTCTGTTCCACCTTCAAAAATATTCAAATAATAAGAACATAAGAACATAAGAACATAAGAAC